CTTCCAACTCCCTCCTCAACTTTTCTTCTCCTGGATTGTTTGATTTTTTATTTTTATTTTTATTTATTTTCCATCAGTTCTAAAATTATACCCAATTGGTGCTTAGCTTATGCTCTTAGGGACTGGACTCATTTCCTGGCAAGCCATCATCCGCCATCCCCCTCCACTTTGCAGCCCCTCTTCCTCTTACTTTCATTATTCTCTCCGGCTTACACTCACTCACTCACTCACTCATTCACTCACTCCCTCCCTCTCGCTTTACGCTTCCCTCTCTTTCTCACCCACCACGGCTTGACTAGCCCACCACCAGTCTCCCCAACCATTCATCCTAACGTTCTCCTGTCATCCTTTTTCGTCCCCAATCCTTTTAGCTCCTCCCCCCCCGTTTCTCTCTCTAAACTAAAGCACCAAGAGATGGGCTTTTCCAGATAAGGGCAGTGCGCTGACCACTCAGCATTTCCCTCCTCTTCTGATCTTCCTCTGTCCCCCTCCCCCAGGATTCTTCTCTCACTCTTTGCACGCTTCCCCTCTAATCCTGAGAGGCTCTGACCACCGCTTGTCTCGATCAGTTCGTTCTAGAATGTTGAGCGTCGGTGAAGATCATCAGCTGGATCTGTGAAATTATATAATTAAATTCGCGCGTGCGATGGACGCCAAGAATTCCCCTCACTATCAGCCAACGGCGCGCTCTCTGGCTACCGACCACGAGCAGGTCCTGCCCCTGCTGGGAAAACAACCTGCGTGGACGACACCGAACGCTGTTCATCCAGTTGCTATTAATAACCATCCTTATCCCCTGCTCCATCATCCATATACCTATTCGATCGCAACGCCCATTCCTGGTCCAGTACCGGGTCCTGCGCCGCCGCTGCCACCATCCCCGATCTCATCATTACCACCGCAACAACAACATCAACAACTACAACATCAACTACAACAACCGCCGCCATTGCCACCACAACCCTCCGCACCGGTCCACGGCAGCGCGCCACCCCTCGCGACTGCAGACTCAACCCGCCAAGATGCAAACAAGAACGGAGTGACCAAGGCGCGCAAACCGCGCAAGACCAACAATGCCACGGGGGGGAAATCAACGCTGTTCTGGGTGCATACCGACCCCAAGTCTGTGTCGGAAGGCACCAGGGAAGAGACTCTCAAGCGCATTCGTTCTCATGTGATGTCCGAGCATAATCGCAAGAAGCGACTGGAAAACACCAAGCGGTACAAGAGCAAGACCTGGAAACACCTCGCTTTTCAACCGGTAGAGACAACCGCCTCCAGCTCGGCGGCGGCGGCAGCAACCTCTGCCTCTCCCACGAATCCCTCACCTAAGCAAACCGTTATTGAGTCCTCTTTTGGGGCTAGAATCACCTCCGAGTCGCCTCCCCCATCCTCCTCCTCGTCAGCTTCATCATCACCCGAACAGCGGCATCGAGAGGAACCGCAAAATGCGTTGGTGGTCACGGAGGCGAGCAGTTACCCGGTCGTGTCAGCGGCAGCCGTGAACAGTTATAGCATTGACGCGCCAACGTCGAACGAACTTTCGCCTGTGCAGGTGGCATCTCCGTGGACTCTGGTGGGTCAGGGAGGCAGTGACCCTTTCAATACCTCGCATACGGTGTTAACGGACCGCATGTCGGGGCACCTCCAACACTGTAAGTGTAATTGACCGATGATCTGGTGTGCATGAACCTAACAGTGTCGTCGCAGTCTTTGAGTTGACGCAGATATCATACCCGCTGCAACGCCGGTATGGGCCCAAGCTGAGGGCCCACTGGGCTGCGTTAGTCCAACAGGACCCAGCCTCGTTGCATGCTTGCATCTGTGTCGCAGCATCCAATACTGCTTTGTCGCAAGGAGAACTGCCCCTGAGAGACCCGAATGAGCGGCGATCCAGTGCGCTACTTCTCGATACCTTCCATCATCGAGGTGAAACAATTCGCCTGGTCAACGAAGGTCTTTCTGACCCGATCAAAGCGTCCAGTGACGAATTGATCGCTGCCGTCTCTATTCTCCTAACCATTGAGGTATGTGCCTTCTCCCGATGCCCAACCAGGCCGATGCTAACAAATTAGATTGCTTCCGGCAATGCTGATTACCTGAAGATCCACCTTGCTGGGTTGCGGCAGATGGTTGGTATGCGGAACACCTTCGCAGACGTGCCACCTGATGTTCGATTCCAGATTACATGGTCAGTTCCACTACACTAACATTTTGTCCGCTTAAGTTCTGACTTGATATAGGACGGATATTCGAGTCGCATGCATGGCTTCCACGAAGCCCATATTCCCTTTCATTCGTTACGCCCGTCCTCTGCATTTAGCGCTTCAGCCTCCCAGCAAAGATCTTGAGCTTACCGCCTCGCGGTTGATACAATTAATTGAGATACCCGGCATCTTCGGCGGTGCCATGTCTAAGATAATATGGGACCTGGTTGAGCTAACCTGGTACTGCGAATGGATCAAGAGTGGGCCAAGCTACCAAGACTTTGACGAGGAGACCGAGGATTACTTCAACACCGAAGTGCTCCACGTTGAATACGCCCTTCATACGGATCGCTTCACCGCCACCGGCGAAGTCAAGGGCGATGCCACCATCGAGGGCTGCGTTCGACTGGCTTGCTTGTTATTCCACAACAACGTGATCTGGAGTTTCTACCCGGCTGTCGCACCGGTCTTCCCCAAACCAATCATCAACCTTCGCCTGGCATTAGAGTCGACGATGAAAGCCGGGTATTTCGAGCTGTGTCGCGACGTCTTGATCTGGATTCTATTCATCGGAGCCACCAGCTCCGGCCTGCTCCCGGATCGAGCCTTCTTTGTGAATGAGCTCGCAATCGTGCTGAGGCAAGAAGGAATCCAATCGTGGCAGGAGCTCCGCGCACTTCTGCTGGGATTTTTCTACGTGGACCGGTCCTATCTCCAGCCGCTACGGGAGTTGTGGGATGAGCTCCACACCATGCCGGTCGTATCGCCGGAGTGTATATAAGGGGCCTTTCTTCTTCTGGGGGTTGATACTTATGTTTATATATAGGGGCTTTACAGCATGTCGGTTTCATATGCACATGTTCTATGTATGATATACTAACGAGATGAGACATGGTATATATGATTCAGGGTCGTGATTTATTTGGTTGTGCCATACCCCCCTTTGCTAGCATAATGTCTGTTTATAATATTATCCCGGATCATACCACCAGTTCACCCGTGTCTGCTTCCGTCGATTGATGTAACCCAGATTGATTGGCAGTGAAACCAGCCAAGAACCAACTCAATCCGCAGCAGCGCCGAGCAAACTCCTGCAGCACCCATCCGCCTCTTTAAGGCTAGAAGGAAGAATGAAAAATCCCTCAGGCCACATTTTTTTTTCGAGGACTAGACCAAGTAACAGCCCAATCTTAAGCAGAAAACAACCTCAAAAACCAGAGCCCAGAAGATCTTGGAAGATAAGCACATCCCCAGCAGAATTATGCTCAGCCAATTTCCAAACCACAAAAACCCAAAGAAAAAACGAACCCTCCTCTCTCATCTCCGACAATTCCCGACCAGAGAAATGCCTCTAAGTAATCTACCTCGTAGGAAAAGTACCTACGGAGTAGATAGCCTTGAAGAAACGAGCGGGCGCGGCGCCAGGCCGGACTTGGGGTGGACTAGTTGCAGGGGCAGCATCGGCACACCGCACCTGTCATTGGAAGTTTCGAGGTGCTCCCCGATTTTGCTCCGCCCGACCGAATCCCGCCCGATCTCCGACCCTGCCCCGAGAATCCTTTTTCCGCAGAGTAGAAAGAAAAGAATTATTGAGTTGACTGAGGGAGGTATTATTATGCCGCCCTCTCCCCCCATCCCCCAGACGCCCCGTTCCTTCGGGGTTGAGTGGTTTTCTTTCTCTCTCTCTCTTTTCTTTTACTCTTCGTTCTCTTACAGCTTTACAGTTCTTTGTCCGCTAGAAAAACTTCCGCTCCAGCTCAGCTGTGGTTCTTGCTCACTCTTGCTATACACTTGCTATGCAATTGCTATACAACTGCTATACAAACTAACCACCTGACTAACATAGGTCCTCTAGTACAGTACCAAGAAAGACAGGACGATCAGCACGGACAGCCCTCACCTGCCTACCTCACTTTAAGTCTACTGGATACAACATTGCTACGATACAGATCCCTGTGCTCCGTCTGCTCTGTGGGTCAATCTATCACCACGAATGAGGTCACCGTTGGCCCTTGCTCAATGGGCTCGGTGCCAGCTTTATCTGGAACTCTTTTCCTTCACAGCTCGCTTTTGGTCGTCGCTCTTCAATGGGGTTCGCTCCCTGCCTACACACCTACTTACCTTACTTTCTCGTGGTGGGTCTGGTAAAAGTATAGGGGGCTGTGATTACGGCCGAAGTGGACTTGGACTGATTATTCATGGAATTGACTGACTCACTGACTGACTGACTGACCGGCTCACAGCTTACCGACTAGGCTATGATTGTGCAGTTGCTGTCTGGAGGCTGGATGGGGCCGCTTGAAGCAGGCAGGCAGGCAGGCAGGCAGGCATAGTCATGCCAGAAAGCTTAAGCTTAGTGGAGGCTCGGCCCGGCCTGCGCGGTGATCGCCCGAACTATCACCTGTCACCGCAGTGCTCCGCCCGCTCGTCGAGTCGACGAACAACGCACCGGCATTTGACTGCTACGCCGCGACCAGGGTACGCCACCTGTCTCAGCGTTGAAATAATTGAGCATTCCCATTGCCGGACAACACTTTCAACGACCTACCGCAAGCTCGATCCATAATATTTCGCCGAGTCAAGCGTATGTTGAATGTCATTTGCCGCAAGCAGACTCGCTGACACGCATGATACGGATGACTGCAGGTAATGCTTGCTGCAGTAAGTCAGACACCCTACATCAATTCAACTACTTGCTAAAATCACTTCCATCATAGTCATTCGAATCATTCATTGAGCAACTGTGCATATCAAAAACAAAACTCCAAATCATCGTCCACGACAGCGGACTGCCTCATTATTACCCGATCGGTTATTTCCATATCCAGTTGGAATCAACAACAGTCACAAAAAACAATTAATGTACCGGACAACAACCCCGTGCGAAGGCCGACACTGCGAACCATTCGCTAAACAGGACGGCCCTACATGAATGGGTATCAGAATTATAACAATGGCATGTTCATCGGAACATAGCAAGGCCGCTTGCAGGGCCTGGGACTATACGAGTACTACACCCCCTTAGACCGTCTCGCGAGCAGTCTTCTGGCGAGAACGAGCGGTCGGAGACCACGGGAAGTGGGCGACAGGGATGATGAAGAAGCTGTTGCTGCTGTCGGCAATACCCGCCAGGGCGTTGTACCAAGCAGCGAAAGCAGCCAGGAAGCCGAAGAAGCCACCGGCCTTGATGACAGGGGTGTTGACCTCGTTGGTATCGTTGCGCTGCAGGTATCCAATACCCAGGAGCAAGAAGGTCAAGTCCAAGAAGAAGAACAGCAGGAAGAATGCAACGGTCGAGCGCAGGGTGCAGAACAGCATGATGGTGGTGAAGATGAACCAGCCCTGTGGAACAGCAGTCAGCACGAGGTTCGCGGTTTGCGACAGGTTTTCTGCGGCACTTACCATGAGGAAGAGACCCATCGAGTTGTAGAACATCGGAGCACCGCCAGCCGATTCAATCGCAGACTCGATGTCGAATCCACCGGGAGTCAAAATGATCGCGAAGGAGATCCAGAAACCACCATAAGAAGACAGAGCAGTGGCACCGAAAGTGTTTCCAACCGCCATTTCCCTAAATGCAGTGTGAGCGGGGACGATTCAAGATGAGATGATAAGGGAATGCAACATACCACATGCCAGCAAGCAGCTGAACGAGACCACCATATCCAAAAGCCAGGCCGACGACGATGTTGGGCGCGGAGATACCCCGGGTTCCCATGTTGACTGCGCTCAGGACGAAAGTGGTGAGGGCGAAAGCGCAGAGACCCAGAGGAGCCGGGTTGGCGAACTTGCGACCTTCGACCGACTTGTACAGACCAGGCTGGAACTCTCCTCCGAAGGGACGCAAGTTGGCCTCGGCGGTGTTGACGTGAGCCATCGGACCATAGCCGAAGCGCGCAGCAGCTCTAGCCGTCTCCTCCGCAGTCATCTCGTGCCTGAGGGGAGCAGTTCCGTTGCTCTCGGTCTCGGGACCGATGTCCTTCTCCAAGGTAGGGTTTTGCTCGACCGACATATTGATTGATTGATTGATTGATTGATTGATTGATTGATTGATTGATTGATTGATTGATTGATTGATTGATTGATTGATTGATTGATTGATTGATTGAACCAAAATCTATGGTTTATACAGGTATAAGGGGGTATCAATTGATCTCGAGGAGAAAATCGAGATAGCTCAGCTGGCTGAGAGGTGGAGGAAGAGTATTATAGATGAAACAGGTGAGGGGAGGGGGAGGGGGAAAGGAAATATATGAAGCCACACAGCACTGCTGGGCAGATGAACAAGAAGATCTCTTGGGAAGGTCTGGGACCGTGCAAGAGAAAAAGAGGAATAAATAACAGCAATGAGAGGGGAAGATGAGAGGGGGAGAGGCGAAATAAGAAGGGCCTCGGGGGATTGGAACGAGGCGTGGTGCTTGGATGGACGGACGGGCGCGACACCACGGACGAGCGAAGGTTGCAGGGGAGGAGCCAGGGAGAGGAAGGACCGTTCGTTAGCAAAGTTTAGCTTGGGTAAGTGGACTCTTTCCCTTTGGTGTGATTAATTTTTTATTTTTTTTTTTATTTTTTTGGTTGATTTTTTTTTTCTGTTTTTGATCTTTGGGGAAAGACCTCGAAGGGGGAGGACAGCCAGTCTCTTTTTCGAGGGGGAGCAAGTCTCACCGTTGAATTTTAGGCAGTGTGTGACTGTGATTATTATGATTTTAATAATATTATTATTACGGTAGTATTATTACTACAACGAGTCAACGACCCATCATGCTTTGCTCGTGATGGAGGCCGGGGTGGAGCGAGCCAAATTAGTGTTGGTCTTCTAAAACGATGTGCAGGAATCCACCTGACGGGCCACTCCCGTATGTCGCTTTTGTCGCTTTGCCTAAACCGACGGACTGACTCTAGGGAATGTGTGGTGTGGTTGCTATAGGTGCTCGACGGAGTGACTAGATTCGTCAATTGAAACCGGTGACAGTCAATTCAAAATCTATCAACTGCAGGGCAGCAAGCGGGGGAATTGGGGATTGGGGTCTGGGGTCTGGGGGAAGGAAGAAGGACCGCTGGCTCGTCTCAACAGAAACCCAATGCAGGGTCAGGATGAAGGGGAAAATTTTGGCTTCCATTCGTCCAGGTTGAGAGAGAGAAAGAGCGCAGGCAAAAAAACAAAAAAAAAAAGGTTGGAAGGGATTTTCCCAACCTTACAGCTCTAATACCGATTGACTTTTCATGCCTGGGGAAACCAAGCCTGGAGGCGTGGGTGGAGCCCTAAGAAGCGCCCGAGGTCCGGAGATTGCACCAATCACCACCTCAAACTCAGGGCCACCGGCATGGCCATTGGCAGGCGGCCTCCTCCCCGCCGGATGACATGGAGATGACATGACTGGTACGGTATTGTAACGGATAGACGGACGCACCGGAGATATCTCCAGTTGTCCCAGTTGCTCCAGTTGCATGCCATTTTTTTGTCTACCTACCAATCTTTCCCTCCTCTCTCAGCCCGCCCATGGGGTTTGGAGAAGTCCCAGATTCCCGCTCGATGCGGAATGCGGAGTGCTTCTGACTTTGGTGATCAGGACACAATTAGCGGCCTTTGTTTGGAAGGGTTTTCCTCTCTGGAGAAGTCCCCAAAAGTCAGACACATCTGATGGGGATGGATGGTCGTCCAAATGTCCACCAATTTATGCCTCAATCTAAATTCCTGCTATTAGTCTACTTTGTGTACTGTACTACGTTAGACTCCGACGGGCGGCTAGGACCCTGGAAAAGAAACCACTTACGCACGCAAAAAAGCCCACTTATTAATAATCTACTTTCTTTAACTAGTTCGTACTGAGCAGTCAAGCAGACCATCCTCCCGGAAGCTGCACAGCTTGACAATACTGCCGAGTGGTGACACTGGTGAGTGCGCTGATGTCCCTTCACCCTCAAATTGATCCCACCAGATCCTAAGACTCGTTCGTCCCTTGGGCCCTTCGGATGGGGCTGATGGGGTTTTAACCATGGCACTTCTCAATCCAAGGTACCAACCAGGTTACTTCCATCAACGCGAAGATTTGGTCCATAATTGCGACGGTGGTGGCGGGCAAGGGTTTCCCGAACCAGACTTTTTGGTGTGTCCCTTCCGTCCGAACAGGCAAGATGGTACCCGTTATGCACTTCACAGTCGCAGCTGGAGACAAAGATCTTGTGCCGGAAAATCTTGCAACTATTGTTAAGTTACTGTACGGAGTACAGTTCACTGCAGTGTTGTACCTGCGCTTGAACCGCCCCGGGTCCGGCGCGCCCCCCTCTCGCCCACAGGCTAAAATGCTGGCTAATGCGGTTAATTGGGTCCCCCTTCCCTTGCTAATGGCTAGGCTAGGTACTACTGCTATGGACCGCGGCGAAGGATGCAATTGCAGGCTGTAGACTTAAGACCAAGAGAGACTGAGTGGGTGGTGGCCCCCCGGTGGTGGGACTTTTCGCGTGCGCGCTGGTGGTGGTGCTGCAACTGCGACGGGGCCTTTTTTTTGGACCACTACGGTACGGATACTCTCGGTGACTTTAACTGCTACTGTCTTAGCCGGTCGAGTGTCAAGTTTTCTGGTAGGTTGCTACTGTTTGCTAGACTGTCAATTTCTTGTGTGTGCTAGAGCTGCAGTGGTGGATCGGCTCCCCGAACCATACCACGTTGACTACAGTCTACGGAGACTAGGTACCGTACTTCCCGAGTCTTGAGACCGAGAGGGCTTGCTTGGTTTGGGTCTAGATATGGCGGGGGCGAAAGGGAACCCAGTTAGTACTGGAGTAGATTTAATGTAGGCACTTTGGTGCATAGTTAGGGGACGGTGGGTTTAGTTTAATCATCCTTTTCGTGTGCTTGGTATAACTTGTGTATGATTGTCGATAGAGGACGTACTCGGTAGCGTAGCTGAGTTACATGCAGGTAGATCGCACGCAGTCCGTTGCTTTACATAGGACGTGCGGGTATGAGTTAGTTAGCTAGCTTGTGAGTATGTGTAAGGACTGTATTTAAGAGTAAAGTCGGATCGTCTCTGCCAGCTGTCGCAGCGAGGTCGATCGGTTGACCAAGAGAGTTAGTTTGCGGTCGTCCGCCAACTTTACACTTTACTAATCAAACTACAACCCAGAAACGCTCAAGTCTGTCTTTCTGGGTGGACAGTGGAAAGTACTCCGTACAGTAAGATCAACATCAGAACTTAAGAGGCTTAGCAGCTTAGCAAGCAGCTCTACTGCGTTGGAATGAAAGCTCCGGGCGTGAAGGTACTGTACAGTACATAGTAGGTCTCACCAGTGCACCATCGGCTCCAGAAGGGAGATTTCCCCGTCAGACTAAAACACCACCCGAAGGCAAGACTAGTGTATCGGGGTCCCATCCGATAATTTTTTTTTTCTGATGTTGTTGTTCCATTGACAATGGGCAGTGTTTAGGGTACAGACACAGACAGTCTTACCTTTGACTAATGACTATATGTTTCTCCCACGGAGACTCGAATCATCCACCACCTTAATTAACTTTTTTTTGGTGGTGTGTTCGTTTCCGTCGTACTTGTCTCGAGTGGTGAGTGCTTGCGGCAAGGAAAAGGAACCTTGAACCGGGTCGAGACTCCACTCTCGGCGACCGTTTCTGCCGCCCTCGTCGACTTTGGTCCCTCTTTAGTCAAAACTTATTAGAGAGTAGCACGCGGGCGGGCGGGTTCGGCGGGCTCATCGTGTTCCAGTTGCCGGCCACCACCACCACCACCACCACCAGAAACGCCAGCTCATTAATTTTGATTGTTATAATCAATCGGCAGGCGGCAGTCGCAGAATCAGGACTAAGACCCCCTTTTCTATCCCTTCATTTCACTGTCAGAGCAGCATGGCGTACGGAAGTCCAAACAAGCTCAGACAGACAGGAGGCCCGCTCGGGGATCGCAATCCACACCGCAGGCTGTGGCCATTGCTCGGTCGGTCATCAAGGAACTGTCCAGGTAGATATTGATGGTCGTGTCAGTGTATGGAGTCAGATCTCTTTTGCGATCGCTATACCTAGTAGTAGCCACCCACTACAGAATGATAGTCCAATCAGTGATCCACCCTTCACAATCCCAAGTACAAATACTGCACAAGTAGTTGCTGAGGACTTCAAAGCAGTTAGGAGGTCTGCACCTGCCAGCGTCCGTCCGTCAGCTGTCCCAAACGAAAGACACCAAAGGGTGCGAAATCAACAATAGCATGGCTACATGCATAAAATAGCATCAGTAACAAATCACCCTTAATTTGCTTTCTGGTGTCCTTATACCGGTAGTATTGCCTGATAATTAGGCTGCGCAACAAAGCTAGCATGCACATTCTTTCTCCCCTCGGTTCTTTTACTGACAGCCGTGTGCTCGATCATATCAACACGAGGGTTTCTTTTCCCGCGGGAAGAATAATACGCCCGCCCGGCGTATCCATGCCTGGCCTACTATACAGTTACCTCCTGAGCATATTCGGCGGCATATTTGTTACCTGAGCAACATTCAGTCGAGTCGCAGGCATGCCCTTCGCTTACCTTGCGAACCTCCACCCTTACCATAAATATTGGGAATTGTCTTCATCGTTTTCAGAATAGAAAGTGTCAGCAGCGCTGTCCACCTTAACTAGTTTTTTTTTTCGTTTTATCGCATTACGAAAAATTGTCTAGACTTCTAGACTTCTAGACTCCTGCTAACTCTAGCTCCTCGGTTGAATTCCCCCCCTCCCTCCAAACAAGGATTGTACGGTTGTACCTGGTACCTACCGCACCATTCGCAAACCCTGCGGTAGCAAAACGCCACGGAAGTAACTAGTACCTAGGCCAACACCTCTAGCTACGCTGACCAGCCAAGTAGCCAGCCAAGTAGCGAGCCAAGTGGGCAGAGTACAAAGGCACCCTCCTCCCGGCCCACCACTAGATGCACAAGAAAACCCGGCTCTGACTCCGGAAACATGAGCCAATCTCTGTTGGTCACTTGGTGCGAGTCCGAGTCCACTTGCACACTTTTTCTTTGGAGTAGACTGACTACGTACTCGGGTATTTCTCCGGGTCGAGATCGCGTGGACCGATCGATGCATGCATGCTGCCAAGAGAAGAGAAGAGGGTCTCTTTGCTATTTCCATCTCCCCCGTGCGAGGATTACGGCGTCCCTTGCTTGGGTTTTGGTGCTTCGCGAGGTAACTTAGGTACGGTGCGGCTCGCTTTTTCTAAGTTGTGAAAATTATCAGCGAGTTGGGATCTGGGAGGGAGGATGATGAGGGAAAGCTCGGTCGGGAGGAGGATGCTCAGCGACTGAGTGAGGTACCCCGTACGGTACTAAATTAGCTAAGATACAGTGGTGGTGCTGTGTTGTCTACACTGTGGATATACAGTACAACCAGTGTAAATGGTTGGTGGCCGAGGTGGAGTCGAGCTGCGGCTGTGGATGCGGCGCTGGCTGGAGCTGGCGCTTTGATGCCAGTGCCACTACTTACTAAACTGAAGTCTCATAACATAGTAATTCATCAATGTTCATTTGATGCACTCCGTCGTTCGGAGCCGTCCGCCACGGAAGGTGGGAATTTCCACGGAACCGGAGATTGAGGACTAGACTTACATTTGAAGGGTGCAGTGAAAGCTAGACTCGGACTGTAAGCTAGGCAGCTAGCGAGCTGGTCTCCGTACTTCCCGTGCGATCCCTACCCGGTAATAATCGATGAGCAGGGTTTCTGCGCCTACTGTTTTGACAGTTGTCTTGGATATTGATTAGGGGTTCACTTTCGGGTGGTCTGGCTTAAGGGTGAGATTCGCAATTCGATTAGATTACATAGTGTTCCACTCCGAGGTGTGTACATGGGTAGGTATACTGTTATGCGAAGGTAAGTTGACTACTAGGTACTAGGTGGGTAAGGGTCTCTTGTTTTACTCATAGGTTGGTTGTTGAGCTAGATGTTGCTCGCTTGGTCTATACACCTACATTCTAACGTACGTACTCATAGACAACATTGTCCTTTCAAGTGACTACTGCCTACCACCAATCAGAAAGTACCGTATAGCACTGATGGAAGGCTCACAGGCAGGGGAGCCCAACCCATGCACGACAGCATAGCATTATTACTCACAACCACAACCTGCAAATGCAAGTAATGCCACCAGTCATGTGCAGATACGAAGTATACCTACGGAGTAGTACAGTGCAATCCCCTCTTTTTCTTAAACCCCTAATCTCCCGAGGCATAAGACCCCATCTCACCCCAGAGGATAAGTTAGAGATTGCATTTTCATAATCTACACACAGACCGTATACCACAAGTACAATGCCTATAATACATGTCCACTCCTTATAGCATTACCCCATAATTTCCCACCTGTGGGGGGTGCATATTCAAAGAACTGGTCAGCTCTTTACCCCGCATTAACAAGATGCGGAGTATGCCTACGTACACGTACGTACTACTTCTGAGGGAAAGTGGAGTGGAGGAAGCAACACCACGTGAGGATATACGAGTCCCTTTTGCTTTTGCTTTTTTTTCCCTTTGGGTTGGAGTAATGGACCCCAATTCCACAAGTCGGGGAATTGCCGCGGGATCCGTGTGGCTGACGGGATGGGGGGTCATTTCATTGCTATTGTGGATGTACTGTACATACAGTTCCGAATTGGTTGTTTAGAGGAATGGTGTATTGACGTAGATCTTCACGAGCAAAATACCTAATCTGTTGACCTACGTAAGTTGAAGGAGAGCACGGAGCACGGCGGAATGTCCATATACCTGTCTGGGGAAGGATATGAGTTCCGAATGATGGATGGGTATGGGTTTGTTGGGTAGGGTCGGTTGGGGCAGATCTGCGGCTGTCATGATTGCCAGCACTAAGTTACATGGACTGCATCCAGAGTATGCAAACGGACTGGCTATCGGTATCGGTGCGGGCCTGTTCGCCTGTCGTTGCGCTGAGGGGCGGGATCTACTTTTTTTTTTTTACTCATGTACTGTACTGGGTTCGAGATACATCATCCAAAAGCAGGTCACGGGGTGAGGGGGATCGACGCCCGGGGGTCAGAACAAAAAGACATTCTGTCAATCTGATAGCTGCTGACTTAGCGAGAACCGTATCCGCCCATTGTCCAGTATCTAAACTCAAGTCTCTTACTGGATTGAGTTTCCGTAGCCGAGAGAGCGGGACTAGTGACCTTGATTCAGACCGCGTACGGATCTGCTCGGACGATGGAAATCGTCTGACTCCTTCTCACCAACAGACCCAGCAACTTGGGATATGGTACGATACTCGCTTCCAGGACCAAGAGTTCCATGTGTCCGGTTCCTCATCAACCTGATACGGACCGAACCCCGGGACTCGGGGAGGATCTGGAGTTCTGGGGCTGCGGCTGGGGGAGTTTACCCCGCCACAAGGGAAGCTCGGCGTAGGCATCCATGGGTCGTGAATGAGACAACGACTGACAAGATGACGAAGATGGGATGTTTGACCTCGGGTCGGCGGAGCGGAGATAGCAACACATAGAGCTTTCCCTCGGGGTTTGGCCTTGAAATTCTGGTGGTGATTATCTTGGTGCTCTTCCAGAGACGAATCGAACGTAAGCCAAGACTGGAGCAGACTGCAGCTCGGGCTCCACTATCGCCCGGCATGAGCGAAAACCTTCTTGTCCGTATTTTTCTTTCGCGATACCATCTGGAAGGCTTCGCCACCATCAACCCATTCCCAGCCAGAGACAAGGGTTCCGACGGGTGCCTTGCATGTTCGATGCCACTGGCTGGAGATGTGGTTCCAGAAGATCTAGCGAAGGCCTCCTAGTTCAATAGTGCCTGCGCCAAAAGGATAAAAATGTCCTTGTGCCCAGAGTACCAAGATAAGCCAGATAACCAATTTTGGCTTTGGATCTTAGGTTTAGGGCCCGCTTGAAAATGTCCACCTCTTGCGATGATGCAATTGTGTGATGGGTTTCTAGGCTTGCCTGACTCCAGTCTTTCAACTGCTGGGATGAATGGCTTCATGTGTTCCTATTTTTTGGACCGAGAGTTTTTCTTGTGGTGGGGGTGCTTCCTCATACAGATCATTGGAAGTGCATATCACCGATGTCGGGTTGGTTCTCGGGGAAGCGGATGGTGGCGGACAGAAAGAAGAAAAAGAAGGAAAACAGAACTCCGGCTGGTCCACACCAAGAGGAAAATCCTAGCGGAGTGAAAAGAATCGTCTTCACTCGCCTCCAAAAAAGCCTGCGGTTCGCATGAGAAGCGCGAACTCAGATGAGAACCCGCCGACTCCATAGTTCATGCAGCAAGCCAGTAGTAGCATGCATGGGCAGCATGATTCGAGCTCTAGTCAACCCATGTGCTCTGTAGATCCTCGCCTCTTGTCCCCCTCCCACGCGTGTGGAGGGTCTGAAGCGCTATCGCGCGATGCCAACTTGGAAGCTGCTCAGCAACATCATGGGCGAGCTAGACTGACTTGTGAATAGCCGCGAGCTTGTTGCCGAGTTCCCAAGCCGTCATTCGTGAAGATCGCCGGGTGGGTTGGTGTGTGGTGGGGTGGAAGATCTGCAGTATACGGAAGAAGCGGTCTGTCGAAGGATTCAAGGAACGATGTCGACTGGGATCGAACTTGTTCGTGCGCATTGATTCTTTTTCTTTTTTCCCCCTTCGATAGTTTGTGAGCCAAGGTGGTAGTACGGGCTCACCGACTATGTTGATGGTTCAAGAGATGGTTTGGAGGTCACAGGAAGTTATCAGTCCGAGAGATGCAAGGTACAGTCACTGGTACCTAGTAGGTACTGCCTGGCCTTGCCTGTTTGGGAAGCTTGGCCTGGCCTGGATGGTCAGTCAGTCATGTGAAAGATGAATATCACGGGATCTCTTATTGCAGTGACAACTTCATCTACAACTTCATCTCACCATTACACAACCACCTTCATTGGCTCGTCGTTGGCTTCCATCTTCAAGCTTCTCACTCATCCACGCCGTGGAAACCCTCATGCTCCGAATATTGACCCGTCCAGGCATACGTCTGTTCTTTACAAGTTTCAAATCTAGACATTGGAGACTTATCTCTCAATGTCGCAAGACTATCTCCATGGCACATCGGCATATCTGTCAAGATGCCATCTGCTCAGTTGCTCACTGATAACACGCAAGAGACATAGACACTAATGCAGCACAACACAGCCCCTCGTGCGGGGTTGATAAGCGACATCGGCTCTTGATATGCCGTGGTGACATCCCTCCATACCACCTTCTACTCTAGGGCATATTGGCGAGCTGGTGCAGCTGTCAATGCATATCATGTGTTATCAATCTCTACTCATCATGACCTTTTACTTACCTCGAGTGGTGCTTTGCCTCAAGTGGAAGGTGTTGAGAACTACATGTCCAACAATGGGGGTTATCTCTGCCAAATAGCCGGCGCTTGATGGAGCATGGCACTGCTACTTACTATGCCACCAGCGATATGAGTACATGCTGAGAAATGCTTCAGGAGCTTCAGCTTTACGTGCTATCATCCTTGGCTTGATAAGGACACACGGTTGAGAGGATAGACTGCTATAAAAACAGCAAGATGAGCAATCCCTACGCTGATAACAACATCGTTCCTGCAGCTCGTCGAAAGCACTGACCTTCATCAAGATGGACGCTGAGAAGTCAATCGTCACGACGGCAAAGAATGACAGCCATATTGCTTCCCGTCAAGCTGATGCAGCATTGGAGTATCTCCAAACAGGAGAAGTAGCGACGTTCTCCGAGGTAGAAGAGAAACAGCTCGTTCGGAAGATTGACCGCATGATTGTGCCTCTCATGTGGGCGATCTATTTTCTTCAATACCAAGATAAGATCCTAAGTCAGTCTCTGCTTGTCACGTCACCACTGTAACTGTTGCCTGACCGAGCGACTAGTCAACTATGCGTCGGTGATGGGCCTGCTGGATGACACGGGGATGCGGACGGACCAGTTCTCTCACTTGGCTCTGGTATTCTATGCATCATACCTTTTTTTCGAACTCCCGACCGGGTATCTGATGCAGCGTCTGCCAACGGCGAAGTACTTGGGACTGAACGGTAGGTAGCGCGGCTCGAGTTGCGAACCATGCTGATTAGCCAAGTCACTCTCTGGGGTCTGTTGACCACTCTGAATTGCGTTGCAAAGAATTTCGCCGGGCTTGTTGTCCTCCGCGTGCTTCTGGGATGCTTTGAGAGCGCTGTAGCACCCGCGTATGACCTCCTCCAACGTTGGAACTTAGGTACCGAGCTAACCATACTAGTCTGATATTGATCACTTCGATGTGGTATCGCAGAAATGGTAGAGAGTTCGGTCATTCTTGGGTCCACATGTACTAATTGAGTCCTAGAACAACCAAAACGTATGGGCCTGTGGTACTTGGGAACAGGCACAGCAACGATTGTCGGAGCCTTGGTTGCGTACGGTCTGCTCTTCTACACGGCCGATGAGTTCTACTCATGGCAGATCATGTTCCTGATCTTCGGACTGTTGACCATCGCTGTTGGGGTCACAGTCATTGTCATCTTCCCCGACAACCCCATGACTTCCCGACTTAGCCACGAGGAGAAGATTATGGCCATCGAGCGCCTCCGCGAGAACCGCACCGGCATCGAGAACAAGCAGTTCAAGTGGAACCAGTTCCTCGAGGTATTCACTGATCCGCAAGCCTACCTGATCGCTATCATCGTTTCAGCGAGGAACATCAGCAACGCCGCCATCAGCAGCTTCTCGGCGCTGATCATCAAGAACTTTGGCTTCACCACCAAGGAGACCGAGTTACTCACCATTCCCGGCGGCGTGGTCAGCGTAATCAGTATCCTTGCAGGAACACACCTGGCCGGGCGCTTCGACCAGCGATGTCTTTGCGTTCTGGGCATTCTGGGCTGCGGTCTTCTGGGCGGCTGTCTGATGGCCTTTGCACCGAGTGACAACAAAGGCGCGATGCTGGCGGGCAATTACCTCACCAACTGCGTCGGATCCGCCCTGCCCCTGATGTACTCGATCGCGGGAGCCAATGTGGCCGGGCATACCAAGAAGGTGACGATGAACGCGATCGTGCTCATGTCGTTCTGTCTCGGCAATATCCTGGGTCCGTTGTCCTTCCGCACGCAGGACGAGCCGGAGTACATGCCCGCCAAGGTCGCCATTGTGGCTACCGTCTCGGTGGCGATCATGTTCACGGGGCTTCTCAAGTGCTATTACATCTGCGAGAACCGCCGCAGGGAGAAGAATGGCCGCGGTGAGCAACATCAGGAAAATTCCGAATTCCTCGACTTGACCGACAGGGAGAATCTTGAGTTCAGGGTGAGTTCTTCACTACCCCGGGAAGTCACTTGCATCAATCAACTGATATGCAATTAGTACAAGCATTAAAAAAGTCTACCAGCATGTAAGACGTTCTGGGAAATCCATGAGACATGGAATGTGAGTGATATTACATCAAGTGGGCGAGCAAGTCTATGCGATCTATGCTATGCAAAACATCCTGCCAACGCCTAGTAGAACCAAGAAAACGCTATATGTACAATGCATCACACCCGCACCAAACTCTAAGCAGCAACCTTAGCGACATTGGCAGCCTTGAACTCCTCGCTGTACTCATAGTCGTTGTAACCCTTGGGATCCTTGGGGAGATAGAAGACCTCGCGCTGGTAGGGGCGGAGGGGGATGCCGCGCTGGATCTTGAAGGGCAGCTCGGGGTTGGCGGTCCAGGGGCGGCCAATGCCGACGACGACATCATAGTCCTTGTAGTCGACGTCGACGGCCTTCTTGGCCGACTCGGCATCGAACCCGCCGGCCGTGATGACGGGGCCGGCATGGCCGTAGGCGCGGAAGAAGAAATCCAGGCTATCGTCGTTGCCGCACTCGCCCTCGGTGTTGCCCTGGATGCGCGGCTCGACGACATGGACGTAGCTCAGCTTGAATGCGGCGGTCTTCTCGGCGAGGTAGCTGAACTGGGGCTTGGGGTCCTGCATGCGCATGCCCTGGAAGGTGCTGAAGGGCGAGTAGCGGATGGCGGTGCGCTCGGCGCCGACGGCCTCGACGACGGCCTGGATCACCTCGAGCGCGAAGCGCGCGCGGTTCTCCACGCTGCCGCCCCAGGCGTCGGTGCGCTGGTTGGCCGTGTCCTGGTTGAACTGGTCGATCAGGTACCCGTTGGCGCCGTGGATCTCGACGCCGTCGAAGCCCGCCGCGATGGCGTTCTTGGCCGCCTGCGCGTAGTCCCCGATGAAGGCGTGGATCTCAGCCTCGGTCAGCGCCCGCGGCGTCGGCGCCTCCGGCCCCGCCGCGATGGCGCTCGCCGACACCACCTCGTCGACCTCCCCCTGCGTGTCCTCCTTCAGCGCGGCCGGGTCGGCCACGCGGCCCAGCGCCCACAGCTGCATGTAGATGTACGAGCCGCGCGCGTGCACCGCGTCCGTCACCTTCCGCCACTGCGCGATCTGCGCCTCCGTGTAGATGCCGGGCACGTTGCGGTAGCTGCCGGCGCGCGGCGAGATCAGGGTCGCTTCGGTGATCAGCAGCGTGCCGGGGACGGCGGCGCGCTGGGCGTAGTGCTCGGCCACCATGTCCATGGGCACGTGGGCGTCGTCGGCGCGGAACCGCGTCATCGGGGCCATGGCCAGCCGGTGGGCGAGGTGCATGTTGCCCACCTGGAGGGGTTGGAAGAGTTTCGTGGTCATTTTTGTTGGTGGTGGGAGGGGGAAAAGTATAGTATGGAAGTCAGTGTTGCAACAATGCAATTCGCAATTCGCAATCGAACTTTTCTTTAATTCGGAGAAAAAGAACCCAGAATCAGAGAACGAAGGAAGACCCCAACACCTTTATACCGTTCGTTTCCTCAATCAATCCCAGAATTAGGAATATGGAATCTTCCATGGGGGTGAGGGAACAGTGCCGTGGAAGTGGGGCCCAGTGCCCATGTCCCACATGTTGATTTCCAAGCATCGATGGGGCTTCAAAACTTCTCCTCAAACCTTCGACAGTTGTTGCCCCCCCCTTGTCCCTTGCCCTTGACCCTGGCTGGAACTCTGGTGCTCGTCTCGGGACATAGAGCCCCTTCTATGGTAAGTTAGTTAGTTAGTGAGCGTGATTACTAACTCTGATTAACTAGTTGGTTCGTGATTATGTAGATAGTGGTGTAACTATCCAAAATTCGCATAGGTCACCATTAACTTAAACTCAACTACCCTGCCAAAGAACATCTAGTTAGTGCCCCCCCTGCATAAGGTACTTGGCCATCATAATCTGCACGCGGGAAACCCGGCAGTCAGGCCTGGTAAGCACTAGACTATACTAGCTAAGCTACTTGGACCCTGTCTGGCCACCACGCCATATGCTTACATCCATCCCTACCCATCCTTGACCCCGTAGGTTCGGCTTGTAGACTAAGTTAGGCTTGATGACGATAACGTGAACCTGAACCTGAACCTGAACCTGAACCTGAACGTGGGTGGCGGACCCCAACCCTGCAGAAAGTTCTGTTGCATAACCAGTTTCTTGGTACAGATCACAATCCTCGGCCTCGGCGTGGGAAATTGTTTTCCGCCGCGGCTGACAAATACAGCTGGTTGGCTGGTGGCGGGGGATTGGGGGGACGTTTCGAATGCTTTCGAAGAATTTTCTAGGGTGTCTGTGTCTGCCTGCTTGCCTAGTACCCGTGCTTCGGGCTGCCGGCGGGTTTGGTTCGGCAAGAGAGAGAGAGACTCGTCCTCCGGGCTCGGCTCGGCTTGCCACTATACCTCTTTTCGTGGTGGAGGGTTCAACTTGGGTTGCAATTGCAGGATTCAGTTGTTGCAGATACAGAATAACTACGCTTTAGTATGCGTATACGTATACATACCAAGATGAGACTAGGCTACCACGAATCGATCTTATGCTATACTCCGGACTCGTATGCAAGATAGTGATATGCTGTTATCCAATAGCTAGGTCTGGTAGTACAGTACGTACAGTACATGGTCATGGTCATGGTCAGGTAGGTATCCATTTCATCATCAAATAATCCAACGGAACTGCTACCGGCACCCTCGAAAAACAAACAACCTTTAAAGAAAAAAACTCCTGTCGCAGTGTTCGTGTCATGTGGGTATTCGGGATCGATAGAAAGAGCAAGACGAGCAAGACGCGAAATTCGGATTCCAGGTGGTGACGCAACGAAAAAGAAGTCGAGGATGACAGAAGTCTCAACACAGCACAATGGGTCGAGAGGAAGCTCAACGCTCACCTCTCCAGCCGCCGTGCCGTGGATTCGAGCTGTGCGTTGAAGGAGCGAAGTTGATGCAGCAGCCCGCCCTGGCCGCCGGGGGCGGCGGAACTGACCGTCTCCGCAACGTTGCGAAGCAGAAACTCCATCCCCCCCAGATCAGTGGTCTCATCAGGATCGGCCGGGTGGGTCTGACGACGCTCCAGCGCGAGGTCGAGACTGTGGAGGGAGTTGTTGATGGTCGAACGCGCCTATACGGGATTGATGTTAGCCTCCGACTGCTCTTAATATAGTTTTGGTTCAACTCCGGAAAGACTCACCTTTCGTGCAGACTCATCTTCGGCATGTTTTCTCCGGACAGCGTCCATTTGCAACGCAACCGCCTCTCGCTCCTTTCGCACTTGGTACAGTCGACTCCGATACTCCATCATCTCGCGCTTGGCTTTGCGCATTTTGACCCCAAGCACGAAGTTGCCGTCCAGCATCTCACTCAGCTCGAGCAGTCGGCCCTCCAGTTCGCTGCCGTACGCCTCGACCACCTTCTTCTTGCGCGTCCATTCGGCGCGTCGCCCGGCGTTCCCTTCGCCGTCGATGCCGTTGGTCAGCGTTGTCAGCGTCTTTTCCAATGTCTCGCGGCAGATCTGGCCCAGTACGTCGGCCACATTCACGCCGCCTCGGCTGGGCAGCTTGTCCTGCTGCCGGTCGGACGACGACGCCTCAGCGGTCTCGCCCTCGTCATCCGACGACCCCAACAGTGTGGGGTCGCCCCCGAGAGCAGCAACGTTCGCAAGACGATGCACAGTGACCGGCACGGTCTCTCCGCGAGGTTGTCTGGGCTTGCGTCTCCGCGTCGGAGGCTCTGCGCTGCCCTCGCCTTCCGCTGCAACGTTGTCTGCCTCGCGTGTCGCGCTAACCCCGGCACTCTCTTCTGCCTGCCTGCCGCCACGATCACGCTTGCGAGATCGGGGTTCAGCGGGTGCCTGCGAAGATTCGGGTTCTGGTTCTGGCTGTGCGACCTCGGGTTCGACCACTTCAGGTTCCGGAACAGCTTCTGCTGGCATTGGTGGTGTCGACTTGGCTCCTCTCGCCTTCCGCCCTCTTGGCTTTGGCGCTGTTTCAACTGGTTCGTGCGTGGCCGGCTCTGGCTCTGGTTGTGCACCTTCCGGCCCGGCTGTCCGTGCTTTCCGTCCTCTGGGCTTCGGCGCTGTCTCAACTGATTCTTGCGTGGCCTGCTCTGGATTTGGCTGTGGTTGTGGTTCATCCGGCTCAGCTGTCCGTGCTCTCCGCCCTCTGCGCCTGGGCTCTGCCTCGGCTGGTTGTTGATCTGCCGCGCCGGGCTCCGCTTGTGCTGCCTCCGGCTCAGCCGTCCTTGTCCTTCGCCCTCTTGACCTTGGCTCTGGCTCGTCCACTGGTTGTTCCGCCGGTTTTGTTTCTGGTTGTGGAATCTCTGGCTCTGCAGTCCTAGCTCTCCGCCCCCTGAGTTTCGATTCAGATACCACTGGCTCTGGCTCTACCGGCTCTGGCTCAGCGGTCTTCGCTCTTCGCCCTCTGTGCCTTGAATCAGGCATCGCTGGTTCCGGAGCCGTTGCTGCTGTCTCCGGTGTCGGTTCCATTAGCTTAGCTCTCCGTCCTCTTGGCTTCGAGCGAGATGCTGTCTCCGCCTCTGCTTCATGGCCCTGTGGCTGTGGTGCAGGTTCCGCTTGCTCCGGCTCTGCTTGTTTGGGTCGTCGTCCTTTGCGCTTCGGCTGCGCCTCTGATGGTAGGGCCTGCTCCTGTGGCTCCGGCTCCGGCTGACTTGGCTCTGGCTCCACCGGCTGTGGCTCAGATGCCTTGGGTCTCCGCCCTCTTGGCATGGGCTGTGACGCCGACTCTTCCGGCTCCTGCACCTCCTTCTGCGCCTCCTCGATTGGAGCTTCCTCTTCCTCGACCACGTCCTGGAGAGAGGGCGAAACCTTTCTTCCGGGGCGACCAGCGCGCTTCGGTTTCGTTTCTGCTACCTCCGACTGTAGCGGACGTCCTCTGCGGGCTCCCTTTCGCTCCGCAGCACTCACTTCTGCTCCTTGCGGAGCATCTACCTCCATACTCTGACCCTCTGGCTCCCCGTTGGTGATGGAAGCATCATTTTCCCGCTCAGAGACCCCATCCACCCGTGTCCGAATTCTCTTATTTCCCTTAGCTTCAACTGGCGCACTTTCCGCGGACCCTGCTCTCGCCACTCGAGGCTCTTTGACCGTAGTCGTAGATGGCTGGACGGATGCAGCTCGTTCGCCGCGTGGTCGCTTGGTTCGCGAAGGAACGGGTAGTCTTGACTGCTTCGTAGTCGGTTGAGGTTCGGTGGCGGCATGGGATTGGGTTGTTTCTTGGGATGGGGCGGTCAATTGGGGCTCGGCGACGGTTTGAGGCTCAACGGGTTGGGTCGACTCAGGAAGATCTGGAAGAATTGTGCCGTTCGACAGTTCAACAGTATCTGGCACAACTGTCGTTGGTGGTTCTGTAGTTTCAGGTTGTACATCCAGCGATGTATCCATGGGCTCTGCGGGTTGTTCGATCTGCTCTTCGCTCGTCTTAGGACTGGTTGTAGTAGGCGACGATCGTTCACTTTCCTGAGAGCCTTGTCTCTTGCGCTTGCCTCTTGCTTTCTTACCTGGCGGGGAGGGTGTTCCGTTCGCTCTGGGTGATGCTGACTTAGGCCTCGAGGACAGCTTCTCTGTAGCGACTGCCGCTGACTCCGGTTCCTGGCGAGCCTGCGGAGACGCGAGGTCATTGGGCGCTATAGAGGCTGCCGGCGTTACGGGTGATGCTGGTCTCTCGATCAAAGCTTCGGAAGCGGGGGCCGGGACAGGCTCGGGGACAGGCTCGGTCGCAACAGTTGATTCCTCAGCAGTTTGAGATGGGTCCATCGGGGCGATCCCATTGGCGAGAGAAAGGGGGTTCTCAGCACTGTGCGCAGCAGCTGAACTCGTAGGGGAGCTCCTAGGGTGATCTTGGACAGGGTCAGCATTGTATAAACCGCGTCAGTGCATGTGGCTGCGCACCAAGTTTTCTGATCTTGCGACTTGGACCGGCTTCCGTTGCATCGTCCGATAGACTCTTAGGCGAAGACAGTCTGGGCGAGGATCTGGTGCGCGGGCTTCCTGACGTCCGTCGAGCGGGTTTCTGGTCCTGGGATGTCGAAGGCTCAGCCCCAGGCGGCAAGCCGTTTTGCGTAGTTTCATCTGCAATACTTGTATCGTCTGTAGTAATTGGCAGTGCTGCTGCTGCTGCTGTCACTGTCGTTGTTGGCGGCGGCGGCGGAGCTAAGGCAGGAGGTTCACCAGCGATTCCAACATCGGCCGGGCGCGACGCGGAATCAGCAGCTTCGTCCGGCGGCGGAGGAGCTAGCCCAAACGAAAAACCAAAGTTGATCTCTTTCGTCTTACGTGACCTGCTCGAGATTGGGTACAATTAGCGACTCAAATCCTAATGGTAAGGCGACGCGGGGTATGCTGGGGGTTTTGGATGCGCGTACGCTGCTCCGCGCTGCCGCATTTGCTGCCGCTCCTCTCGATCTACCGTTGCCAAAGATTAGCTGAGTACGCGAGAAACCTGTGCGAAAATAGATAATCATACTGATATTCATGTTGGAGAAGCGGCGTCAGGCCGAACTCGACGCGCAAATTGACGCGCGAGAAAAGATGGGGGGGAGGAGGTGAAAAGAGATTCGGATCCCTCCTGCTTGGGGGCAGCGGAAGTTGGAATCGGGGGGGGGGGGAATGATGGCAGGGCGGGCGGAAACCTGACAATCGTTTTCCCCAATACGGTTTGGCGCCCGGTAAGTTGAAGACTGAGCTGAGCTGAGGGAGGGCCTGCCTCTCGTTTCGGGCATCTCGCGCCATTCTCCGCAGTCAATCTATATTACAGTGCAGTGTACACTACGAAAAGCAACGTGCGCTTGCAGGGCTTTCTTTCTCCCAACCTTGTTTCCTCACTCGCGGCTGTCTCTTCCCAGTCAATCGATCACTTTACACTTCACATCATGGGTTGGTTTTGGGGCGGTTCGAACCAAGACGACCCCGTCAAAAAGCTTGACCCGGAGCTGCGGGATTTCCTCGAACATGAAGCCCCCAAGAAATACGTGCCCACGAATGCGCTTCCTTCCGTCCACGAGCCTTCGAAGACAGTAGAGAAGACACCGGTATCACCGCCATCGTCGGAGAGTGCTTCTACGCCGTCGGAACCTTCGGTCCCCAATGCCTCCCTCTTCCCCGACGGCCGCTATGCCCACCTCTGGAAGACCTACAAGCCACCCCAGGAAAAGGAACAGTCCGAGATGAAAACCGCCGAGCGGGTGATCGAGAAGTACAAACAGCGCGGTGATACCGTGCACCGGGCGGCGATGGAGAACTGTGCGTTGGAACAGGAGGACTGGGCCAATTGCTTCCGCACCGGCAACTGGCAGAAGCAACTGAAAGCCCGTGCGACCATGTGCTCAGAAGAGAACTCTAAGTTTTCTCGTTGTTTTACCACCCAGGCTGTACGTACGCGGGTGGACGAATCTCCCTTTGATATGTTAGATGCTAACTGCTTTGGGGGTCCCAGAAATTCCTCCAGGCCTTGGGCTACGCATCCTCCTTCGAGTGGGACGCGGAGAGAGAGGAGCGGATTCAGATGCACGCGGATAAACTCTATCATGAGATGTTGGACTACGAAACCCGGGTGGAGGAAGCACAGAAGGCCGGGCTGGAACCTCCGCCTCTCACCTCGCTCTTTAACCCCCAAGCACCGCCGCCGCCGCAGAGTCCCGCCGTTACCACCAAGAAGACGTTGGAGATCCCCGGTGGGGAGGCCATCCCTGTCGGCTTGAAGCCATCGAAGCCTCTGGAGAAGCTCACTCCCCACGAGCGAGAGCTGGAGATCCGGGCGCACAACGCACAGTTGGAGCAGCAGAAACTATACGTGCAGGAGGCGACGCCGTTCATCAAGAGCCAGGATGAGGCCCGTTCCAAGCGACGAGAGAAGGCTACCAGTTGGTTTGGCGAGACGATTGGTCGCTGGGTCACCTGAAACATTCCGGATATGAGAAATTCGTCTTCAATTCTGATGTATATTATGATTGTTACCCGTGTTGGCTTGACGTTTTTGGGGGAGTTTGTGAGTAGTTATCAGCGATACTTTCGAAATTGAATAGTAGGCATTACCGATAATCAAGATGACCTTGAAGATCAATCTGGCGAGAGGGGTAAGCATCGAACACCTTGCGCAGTGCTATGTGTTAGTGGAAGTGAAATAGGTCCCAGAGGTAGTGGTGCTATATTCCATCGGTAGCCTCAGCTCCCCTGGTCGCATCGCTTATTGACTGCTTTGCTCACTCAACGCCCCCGTGTACTTCTATGTTCAGCGATAGAAGACTGATTGGAGCGATGATTCTCTCGACGCATTAGTATGCCCGGAACTGGCCAAGGAGGCAGTTACCTCGACTACTTGGTAGCCATTCAGCAAGTCTAAACCTTCTCCACGCCCCTGGTAACCAGAGAGACCGTTCAACAACAGTAGCAACCACCTGTACCTTTTCTTCCGCATGCAGATCACAATTCAAGGCAGTTCCCATTGTTCATTGGAAGGGATTGTGGTGTCAAGTAATCGCCAGCCGCCATGCCGCAAGAGAAACCAACCCGCTTGATTGATATGGTATTCTCGGTGCAGGCGTTGGTTTGGAAAGCGGGCGCATAGAGATCAATAATAAATAGATCGAGGAAGCAAGAGGATTAAACATGGGAGGTGACCGGTGGGGTTTCTACTCTTCCGTAAGAAGAATGAAATGAAGGCCCAGTTTTACGCGCGATCGACGGAGCAGGCGAACGCGAAGCTGACGGACGCGGGGATTGTCATTCGCCGGGCGCGACACGAGGGAGAGAAAAAGGATCGATGATCCATGATGGGATGCTGGGATGAACGACATCACCACTGAACTGACCACTGATTGGAACCTGCAATCAGTTAACTTCCACTGCCACTGCAACGGACAACTACTTCCGCTTGTCTCGCTCTCTCACACTACACTACGTACTTTACTACACTACACTACTTCGTACACTACACCACTCTCGTCTGCTGCACTTTCCGCTCCGTCAAATCGGATCATTGACTGACTGTGTTAGTGTTAGAATTACTAGATTCTTGATCTTGTCTAATAATCCGACCTCCTCTTTGCTTCCTCTTTCTCTTTCCCCTCCCTCTCCACCCCCCTTCTTTCATTCTTCTGATTGCATACCTCTTTAAATCCCTCCGAGAGGCTGCTGCTGCTGCAAGTACTGTACTTCCCGACAGCTTGTTTGCATTGAATTTCCTCGCCCGCAACTCTCCCTCCGCACTTCTCTCTCTCACGCCCTAACAATTCTCCTCATTGCTGCTGCTGCTTCAGCTTCCCCCACCCCACCCCTCATACTACTACTGGATACAATCAATCTTCCACCCCATCTATATCCGCAATATATAGTCGTCCTGGGCCTCAATCTCCCCACCCCCCCCCCCCCAATCTCTCAACGGGTGCCCCCAATTGAGCATCCGTGCTCATCATGAAGGCCACCCCGTTGCTCATCTCGTGGCACGATGACAATGCTCCTATTTACTCGGTACATTTCGACCCCAATGGTAAGGGTCGCTTAGCCACTGCTGGAAAGTGAGTTCGTCTGATATCTCCCTTTGCCCTTCTTTGGTCTGTCATTCAGGTTGCTGATGCTTGTCTCCGCTCTCTAGTGACAATAACGTCCGAGTACGATCCCCCCTCTCGAACTCGCTTTGCCCTCCCTCATCCCTCCTCGTGACTCCCCGTCGAGGGCACTCTGTACACCGTGTCTGACAACATAACACAACCACAGCTATGGAAAGTGGAATCAACCGGAGAGGAACGGAAGGTGTCCTACCTGAGCACGCTGGTCAAACATACCCAAGCTGTGAATGTCGTCCGTTTCAGCCCCAAAGGTAGGCAGCAACGCTCGATCCAATCTGTCGATGTCGTTTCCTGTGCTGATTGTGTCTCCTCGAATCTCATTTAGGCGAGATGCTGGCATCTGCCGGGGATGACGGCAATGTCTTACTCTGGGTACCGTCGGAATTGCAATCACAACCGGGCTTAGGTGAAGACCGCTCGGACGACAAGGAAACCTGGCGAGTGAAGCATATGTGCCGTTCTTCCGGGGCAGAGATCTATGATCTCGCGTGGTCGCCTGACGGGGTTTTCATTATCACGGGCAGTATGGACAATATCGCTCGGATCTATAACGCTCAAACGGGTGAGTTCAGTTTGTGGGTTGCACACGGAACTGGACTGCTGACTGTATGAATGACAGGCCAAATGGTGCGCCAGATTGCTGAGCACTCGCACTACGTCCAGGGTGTGGCCTGGGATCCGCTGAATGAATTTGTTGCAACACAATCATCCGACCGCTCGGTCCACATCTACAGCTTGAAAACCAAAGACGGCCAATTCACCCTCACTTCCCATGGGAAGTTCCTCAAGATGGATCTCCCCGCGAAACGCATCTCGTCGAGCAGTCCTGCGCCGCCGGATCTATCGATTCGCTCTCAACCCGCACCGACCAGCTCGGCCGCCATTGCTTCTCCCGCTCCGTCCACTCCAGGTACACCAATGACCTCCAACTTGCCGATGGACCCTCCCCCCGTGTCGCATAGTCGCCGATCCTCATTCGGGTCCTCTCCTTCCATCCGTCGTTCAGCATCTCCGGCGCCATCACTGCCGTTACCAGCTGTCAAACCGCTCGAGGTACCATCACCCGGTTTATTGGGTGGGCTCGGAGTCAAGAATGCCAACATCTATGCGAATGAGACCTTCACCTCATTTTTCCGGAGGTTAACCTTTGCTCCTGATGGAAGCTTGCTATTCACCCCGGCCGGGCAGTACAAGACGTCGCATGTGTCAGCGACCGACTCCTCGAAAACAACGGACGAGATCATCAATACCGTTTACATCTATACCCGCGCCGGGTTCAACAAGCCACCCATCTCTCATCTCCCAGGCCATAAGAAACCATCTGTTGCGGTCAAGTGCTCTCCAATTTTCTATACCCTCCGGCAGACTCCTCAGCCTGCTCGCCATATCACCTTAGACACCTCGTCCATCGAAGAGTCGTTCTCTTCGCTCCCCGATCCGGTGGTGAGTTCCGCCAAGGATGGCGCGTCAATGGAGCCTCCATCATCCACGCTTGCCGCCAACGATTTGGTGAAGAACAACACCGGTACCAAGGCGACGGAGCGGGACAGTCCCTCTGCGAGCCAAAGCCCTGCTCCCGTGTTCACACTGCCCTACCGAATCGTGTATGCGGTAGCCACCCAGGACGGAGTCCTGGTGTATGACACCCAGCAGCAGACGCCAATATGCGTCGTTAGCAATCTGCACTTTGCTACTTTCACCGATCTGACCTGGTAAGTAATGATGACGGACACTCGACGACTTGATTCAGCTGAACTAACTTTGGACAGGTCGAATGATGGCTTGACCTTGATGATGAGTTCGTCCGACGGATTTTGTTCTACGCTTGCATTCTCGCCGGGCGAGTTAGGCCAACCATACACTGCACCAGCATCAGCGGCTCATCAGAACGCAGCCGCTGTGTTATCGGCCAATAATGTTCCGCTCCCTACGCCGACGACAGCGAAACCAAGTCCAGGCCCCCAAGCCAATGCGAGCCAAGCACCCCCTGCAAGCC